AACACTTACGCATGTTTAGTGTTCACCATATCACACCAATTAAACAACAATCTTAGCCAAACAATCTTTCTTAACATTATCAATAACTATGTTCTATGTGGTTGTTGCTTCCTGTTGATGTTCAATTTCGGGAATTGTTTTGTTACTACGGACTTGCAGGCAACCCATTGGTATTAGTCTATCAGCTCTTCAGTCGGTCGGTCTCGACAAGCCTCTTAGTCGTTCGGTCTCGACAGCTGTTGGACGAATTTAATGCACAAACAAATGTAGTAACGGTTACCATTAGACAATTAAGGTTTGCATTAATGACCATTAAGAGGTAAATTAATGTAAATTAATTGGTCAGAATCCTTTAAACTCTATAAATAAGAGTTTAGGCTTAAGGTACAGGGATAGTCAATTCATACTCCACTTACGCCCTATTTACGTCTTATAAGAACTTCAATATTTAATTGTAACAAATAGTTCATAAAACAACCTCTAACTTGAGCGTTGGAGTTCCTTTTGCAGGTACTTCACCTCTTTTACAAAGAGGGTGACCGAGCGGTCAAGACTGAAGTTCACCGAGCGACCAATATTGAAGATGACCGATTGGTCCAAACTGGAAACAGACAAGCGGAACGCACCAGTCGAAGGTTAATGTATCCCTACCGAAACATGTTTATTTTTTATTTTTTTTCAATTTGTTGGTTTCAGATCTACTTGTATTTTGTATATTTTATAATATTATACAAGGGTCAACTTTTTGTTGTTGTTTAAAGAGATTTCGGTGCCGTTGCGTCAAGCAGTTTAATTAATATAAATGAACTGAGTGAATAACACGCTGCTTTTGGCCTTTTGTCGAGGCTTCACTCGCAGCCCCTCTCCCAATTTCTTTTTAAATACAAAAAATGGAAAATGTAGAAAAGTAAATAACACTTTGGCTGAAATATATTTTTATCTTAAAAAAATGTGTTTTTTCGGAAAGCTTGCTGTGCTTTTTTGTTTGTAGAAAGTTATAGGTTACATCNTGTGTTGATGTGATAAATGATATTATTTCTTATCAACACTTACTCATATAGACATACACAGTTTGTTACATTAACAAATTTTTTAACATTGTTTCCTCGTAAAGATTAAATGTATACGTAAAAGAAATTGAGGAAAAGGATAAAAATGATTAAAAGTTTAACTGAAATCCTATTTTTCATAAAAGTTAAACAATAATTGAACATTATCGCTTCATTAAAAAGCATCGTGCAACAATTTGTCCACAGTGAGTACAAATTTTATCATGCAACTAAATCAAGTTTATTAAATCTGAAACTCATGACCCTAATATATTACATAACTCAGTAAAAGAAACAACTAAAAACCTATTTCTCAATAAAAAGACGCAATTTAGATTGGATTTGGATAAAATCCAACGCATAACGTAGTAAATTAAAAGTTGTCACGAATGGTTACGTTTAATTTTGCTTCAACCTGTGAATTGAACACGAGAAATGGGCCTACTTATTTCCATCTTTCACCCTCTCCCACCTCTCCTTACCCTCTTCACAAGAAACACTTACGCATGTTTAGTGTTCACCATATCACACCAATTAAACAACAATCTTAGCCAAACAATCTTTCTTAACATTATCAATAACTATGTTCTATGTGGTTGTTGCTTCCTGTTGATGTTCAATTTCGGGAATTGTTTTGTTACTACGGACTTGCAGGCAACCCATTGGTATTAGTCTATCAGCTCTTCAGTCGGTCGGTCTCGACAAGCCTCTTAGTCGTTCGGTCTCGACAGCTGTTGGACGAATTTAATGCACAAACAAATGTAGTAACGGTTACCATTAGACAATTAAGGTTTGCATTAATGACCATTAAGAGGTAAATTAATGTAAATTAATTGGTCAGAATCCTTTAAACTCTATAAATAAGAGTTTAGGCTTAAGGTACAGGGATAGTCAATTCATACTCCACTTACGCCCTATTTACGTCTTATAAGAACTTCAATATTTAATTGTAACAAATAGTTCATAAAACAACCTCTAACTTGAGCGTTGGAGTTCCTTTTGCAGGTACTTCACCTCTTTTACAAAGAGGGTGACCGAGCGGTCAAGACTGAAGTTCACCGAGCGACCAATATTGAAGATGACCGATTGGTCCAAACTGGAAACAGACAAGCGGAACGCACCAGTCGAAGGTTAATGTATCCCTACCGAAACATGTTTATTTTTTATTTTTTTTCAATTTGTTGGTTTCAGATCTACTTGTATTTTGTATATTTTATAATATTATACAAGGGTCAACTTTTTGTTGTTGTTTAAAGAGATTTCGGTGCCGTTGCGTCAAGCAGTTTAATTAATATAAATGAACTGAGTGAATAACACGCTGCTTTTGGCCTTTTGTCGAGGCTTCACTCGCAGCCCCTCTCCCAATTTCTTTTTAAATACAAAAAATGGAAAATGTAGAAAAGTAAATAACACTTTGGCTGAAATATATTTTTATCTTAAAAAAATGTGTTTTTTCGGAAAGCTTGCTGTGCTTTTTTGTTTGTAGAAAGTTATAGGTTACATCTCTTTATGTAGATTGTTAGAATTGGACACATTTTACTACTGAAATTATAAAAAAAAAATCACATCTCAAAAAGGAAACTTGAAATCATATTTAAAATAATTAAAAAATAATAATCTCATAAACAACAGTCTAATGAGTACAACAAAAAATCTTGCCCGTGTTATATATTTGAACGAAAGGATACAAAAATAACGAAAGGCGTTAATTTATAATAATTATAAATTTTGAACGATTGTAATGATTTAGTTTAGTTGTATAATATATAAAGAATAATTAAATTGTGTTTAAAAAATATACAGTATTATCTATTAAAATAATTACAATGAAGTGTATATATATGTACAAAATTTATTAAAAGGTTTTGGGTTGGGATTGGGATTTTAGTAGAAGTTCTTTATGACCACTCAAATTACATGATTTGGAAAACGACGTCGTCTCAGTCCTGTCAATTAGAATAGTGTTCGTGAATTAATGTTTTATTATGGTATGATGTAAAAAATAAACGCATGTTTACATTTAGCAACGTATTAAAAACTTTTTCTTAAAAGGTCATTACTTCATGTTTGTGTTCTTTTGAACTTTGAAGAGAGATTGTAATTTGCACAATACCAAATTAAGAAAAATTCCAAACCATATTTATAGCAAATTTCATCCATAAGTTACTGTGTGCGATTGTGCTTCGGTTGGACTGTTGGAAAAATAAAATATTACCGTTTTGGGACATTATTTTCCCTTTTTATCACAAGATGTGAGCTTTATACTCACCAAAATAAAGATGATGAATATTTCAACCATATGGATTAATCTGCTTAAAAAGCAGAATGTTGCGTAAAACTGTGAAGTTATGGGAAAAACTGTAAATATTAAAATTATAAAAAGAAAATTGGAAAAGTGTGTCATCATGGCTTGACCTCTAACTCCCGTTGATGAAATAAATAGGAGGTGGCATGCATAAGAATTATGACTTATGAACTTCTACTAAATTACCGTTTTGCTCCTATTCAATGTCTTTTTATTTTTTAGTCAATGCTTTTCTACTCTCAGTTATTACTATCATATTACATTTATTTTTATTCTTGCCATTGTTACTACCAGTTAGGAGCTGTTTAATTTACAAAACATTATTACATTTTGAAAAACTCCTATAAAATACTAAAACCAACAAAAAAAAACTTTTAAATAAAAGTAATACAATTTAAATGCGAAAATTATTTCAATAGAAACAAATCCTTGATTTTCCTAAAGATAACAACCTTTAAGAAAAATAGGAAAGCAAAAAAATAGGGCAACACTTGCATGTAATCTAAACGAGTCGTGAAATTAAAATTAAATTATAAATAAACTAACAAGAATAGTCTTAATAAATGTGTAAAAGCGTGATCACTATATATGGTTGATATAATTAAAATAAAGAAGGTTGCTTTTATGGAGTTTATTAAACTAAAAACAATGTGTTTCTTTTTTCTATAATATACTTTATTTTTTCCATTGGCATATTATTTTTGACGTACAAACATATATTGATTAATTAATAAAAAACTTTTATAACTAGTCAAATACACTTTAATATGTGTTGTACAATATTGATTAAATTGTAATTTTGATTTGTCACTTTTATACATAGTTTTAGCTTGTGTTTTTTTTATTTTAGACTCTCTAAGTAAAGCGAAGAACTTTTGTTCACACTTTAATTTTTAATATTTGTATTAAATATAAAACTTAAAATGAGGAACGAAAACATTAAATAATAATATATTGTATATATGAGGTCCGTATGTTATAGTTTATTCTCATGTATTTCTGATCCAAAACGACACGTTTGAAGCGAATCGAAGTAACAAAACGACACGTGTGGGCTAAAACACCTGGGTTGGGAGAGAGGGAAGAAAATAAAGAGATTATTAATAAGTGGGTCGGTGAGTTGTTGGTAAGAAGCATAAGAGAGGGGTAAAAGAGGAAATGCAAAAAGTTGCATGCAAAAACTCAGATTTTGAGGGCAAAGTGTGAGGACGCTTGGCTTGATATCGCACCCATTTATTAGCAACACTTCAACGTCAGATTCCTCTGCCACCAAAACCAAAACTCTCTTCTCTCATCTCTCTCTTTCTCTCTCTCTTCACAAACAAAACACAACTATGTCTTCTGCATAGACAACAGAAACCACCTGCTTTCTGAATTCTGTAGGAAAAGGTTAACAAACAGCATCAATGGGTTCAGGGGATTCTTCGTCCACAAAGCTCTTTCTGTTCATGCTTCCTCTCGTGCTTGTTGCAGGGCTGGTTTCTGTTTTGGGTCCTAGCCCCTCTAGTTGGTTTTCCACTGCGAAGCCACCGGTGTTATTATTGAGCTCTGTTACTTCCTCAGCTGCTAATATTGGTGCTGTGACCACCCCTTCTGAGGTGAAGCAGAGAGAAGAGTTGCTGGTTGTGGCCGTGGATAATCGTGCCGGAGAGAATCTTATCTCCGATGACACTCACTTCAATCTCTCCTCTACTCCTCCATTTTCTGTTCAGGCCATACAACAACATGTGAGAGCTTTTTCTTCTTTTCTTATCATAATTCCACCCTTAAGTTTACCATTTTTCTTTCTTTATATGAATGACATTACCACAGGGGTAGGATGGGACATAATTTCGATACGACTCTACTTTACTCCTACAGAATTTCACTGTGATAATCCAAATAACAAGGGCAGCCACCCTGCTATGAGAATCCGACCAACAACACCTATTTTTAAGAACAAAACTATGCTATAAATGTTTGAATAAAAATATTATATGAGTTTGTTATAAAACTTGAATCTGATCCTGTATTCAAGTTTTCTACCTCAATTAATTAGTAATTTATCTGAGTATTTAAGTTTTCTTTTCCGAGTTTTGTCCGGTAGAAAAATAGGTAGCAGTGTAGGTTATGGAAGCTTCTAAGGTGAAATTTTCGTTAAAAATGTCAGATGATTGTTACATTTAAGAAGGAAAGAATGTACAGATAGAAAGAAAAGAATGCAACTAAAGCACTGAGAATGTTACAGACCAGATACCTTAACTTTTTCTTTAATTTTGCAGAAAAGATATAGGAGTTTGAATAAATCTGTTGTGGGATAAAACCCAAAGGAAGGGAGAGAGATTTTATCCTATTATTATACAATTTGACTGTGTTGTTATTCTAATTCTATTATTTTTAAAGTAAAATTTACAGAATAAGGAGATGCAATACCACAGTCTAAGTTATAGCAGAAATGAAAACATCGATCTCACATGGCACTTGGTCGATGTATAAAATTTTCCAGATTGAATTAGTAGAATGAAGATAAATTTGGAACATGAGGAATTAAAAATTGATATTTAACTGAACCTTACTCTTTCGTCTACGCACTGCTATCATATTATAATTATATATTTGCTTTATTTTCATCTTTTCGAGACAACTTCTCTCTGTGAAATGAAGGAATTGAAATAATGCAAATTGATCTATCAACTTGGATGTTACTCTGTACTTGTTGCCTCAGTGTTGCGATCCAAGGAGCTATTTGCGTATTTGAGGATTTTAAGACCTATAATATATGACTATCATGTCCCCTTGTTGAATATACTAACTTCGTAAATACGCAAAGAAATGCGAATCCCCATCCCTTGGGTTTTCACTTTTCAGATACTTTAGTTGGTTTTCAGTGTGCAATTTGTTTCTACGAGTTACCAAAATAAATCGCAGTGATAAATATTTGGCTGCGTTTATCTTCTAAATTATTTTTTGGATGATTTCCATTTTAGATGGGACTTAGTTCAATTTCTTATGCATGGATTCAACTCTCACACTGCAAATGTAGCAATGATTTCGAAAAGGTTTAAATTTAAGAAACTAGTTGTCAAGTTCCGTTTTAAGAAAGGAAATAGAAAAGAAGCGACTTGTTAGGCAGAGAATTGTAGCATGGTTGAAATTAAAAGGCTATCCATTTATGAGTTTTAAATAAAGGTGATGACGACCCGTCATTTTATTTACCAGAGCAGGGATGAACAAAACGTTCCCCAAAATTTGGGCAATGTGAGTTCCGTGAACGAGTCTTATGTTCCAGCAGAGAGGCCAAAACTGGAAAGAAAATTCAGCATCTTAGACAGGACCGAAGCAGGTCTAATAAAAGCTCGAGCTGCGATTAGAGAAGCAAGAAACGGAAATCAAACGCATGATACAGACTACGCTCCTATTGGACCAATGTACATGAATGCCAATGCATTTCACAGGTAAAAGAAGCAAATAACATTAGGACTTTGTCGGCTTAACAAAAGTAAGTAAGTAATTTGATTTTTGCATGTTACAGGAGTTACTTGGAAATGGAGAAACAGCTGAAAGTGTATGTGTACGAAGAAGGGGAGGCTCCGGTTTTTCATAACGGACCTTGCAAGAGCATATACTCGATGGAGGGGAATTTCATCCATGCTATTGAGATGAACGAGAAATTCCGAACAAGAGATCCTGAGAAAGCACATGTTTTTTTCTTACCTTTTAGTGTAGCAATGCTGGTCCAATTCGTGTATGTACGAGACTCTCATGACTTTAGCCCCATAAAAAAAACTGTCACGGATTACATCGACGTCATCGCAGGAAGATACCCCTATTGGAACAGAAGCCTTGGAGCCGATCATTTCTATCTTGCTTGCCACGATTGGGTAATTAAACCATCACTGCATTGTGCATTTTTATTTTATATTTTAATGATCATCAGAAAATAATCTTGATTGTTGTAAATTGTTTTTCAGGGGCCAGAGACTTCGCGCTCGGTTCCTAATTTGAAAGATAATTCGATACGCGTGTTGTGCAATGCTAACACTTCTGAGGGATTCAAGCCCTCGAAGGATGTCTCTTTGCCGGAAATTAACCTCCAAAGTGGTTCCATAATCGGTTTGATCGGTGGGCCGTCTGCTTCGAAGCGTCCACTCTTGGCTTTCTTTGCCGGTGGTCTTCACGGCCCAATTAGGCCGGTTCTTCTTGAACAGTGGGAAAACAAGGACGAGGACATAAAGGTTCAGAAGTACCTTCCGAAGGGTGTGTCGTACTATGAGATGCTGAGGAAGAGCAGGTTCTGTCTTTGTCCCAGTGGGTACGAGGTGGCGAGTCCGAGAGTGGTGGAGGCAATCTACACAGGGTGTGTCCCAGTTCTGATTTCGGATCACTATGTCCCTCCGTTCAGTGATGTTTTGAATTGGAAGTCGTTTTCCGTTGAGGTTTCGGTTGAGGAGATTCCGAAATTGAAGGAAATTTTGTTGAGTATTTCTCCAAGACAGTATATAAGAATGCAGAGGAGAGTGGTACAAGTTAGGAGGCACTTTGAGGTGCACTCTCCTCCCAAGAGGTTCGATGTCTTTCACATGATCCTTCATTCTGTATGGCTTAGAAGATTGAACTTTAGAGTCCACGATCATCAATCACAACTCTCTTAGTTTCCCATTGTTATCCTATGTAATATGCTGTCATTTTTTTTTCCATTGTCAGAAGAAAAAATAATATTTCATTTTCCCCATACTCCATGTAAAAAAACTTCAGTTTTCAGAATAAGAAAATAAGTAATGGTACACACATTTACATTCTTCATGAGGAAAATGTTCATAGAAAATATGTGAACAGAGTCAACCTGTGTTGTTTAAGAGATTAGATACCTTTATCCATCTTACCTTCCCATTCCATCTTATACCCCCTTAGCCCTTATTCTGGATTGAAACAAAGATATGGATTGATGATATGTATATACATGGTTCGCAGTACAATTTGGTATGTGAAACAGAGGTTATTTTGGGTCAGACCAATGATTGGAATGCACGATATGAAATTGGAAAGGAAAATCAACAAACTCAACAACGAACACAAAAAGGAAGAAAATAATATGGAACAACGCACAAATTATGCTTTGAAGTTAAAACTGTTTTTTTTTTTTTACAATTTCAATCAAAACAGACGTATAATCTAAGTATGAATTTTATTTATTCATCACTATAAGATTTTTTTTTAATTATCAATGAAATTTTATTGATAGAAATAAATTTATTAATTTTTTGATAAAATAGAATTTATTGATGAATTTTACTCATGAAAATAAATTTGTTTGTAGCGTAAACTTGAATTAAACATGTATCAATAAATCTCGTATATAAGAAAGAAAAGGCGAAAACTAAAAAACTAATAATATTTACATATACATATAATTAAAACTTAAAATTAATTTTTATTCGAAAATATTTGAATCATAATATTGACTTTACAAAAGTTATATAATGTGGTTGTAATTTTAAGAAGGTAACTATATCATTAAAATGATTTCGTTAATATTAATTCATGCAATAACATAGTTAAAACTATTTTCACACATTAGTTTAAATTATATTTTTTATTAAGATATTAAAATTAAATAATAATTATTTAATAAATTTAAAATATTAATTATTATTTTAAGATCTTATATAAATTTCCTATAATATAAAAGATAGTAATGTAAATAAAATAAAAATTTGTATAATTTATTTAAATAATATTTAATAATAATAATAAACTGTTATTTAAATACAACCAATATCATATTTTATTACTATTTAGTTTGTTATTGTATTACATCAATACAAGATCGGACAAACAACTAAGTATATAAAGTTTACCATACCTAGATTACAGTGTTTAATGAAACCTGCTTATGTGGCTTAAAGTGTTCTACTATAACCGTTCTCAATAATAATAAATAAGTTGTGAAATACAATCCATCTAAATTCCTCAACTTTGAGATTTAACTTTACAAAAGAGGCTGAAGAAAAATTTCAGGAATGTCAGCAAATTAGAAGAATTAGTTTACAAGAATAAATATTCAACCGGGACAAAAATTCTTAAAATGAAACATCACTGTCACTGTTAATTTATACATTTAATGTTACACTTCACCTTAACAAGGTTTCGTTAATTATTATTGTTAAAATTTAACATAATCATTCATTTTATAAGTAAATTTTATTATACTAAAATTAATTAATTAAAAGCAAACAGGCACAAAAGAGTGGGAAATGGCATGGTCGAGAGAATCCTACATGAGTCAAAGAAGACAAGCTCAGCGGACGCCACGTTTCTGACACGTGTCAGATAATCTTGGATAGATATGAAGGTAGGAGATGGTTCGAAAGATATATATACATGTCAGTACCGAGTAGCATCATAGGCTACGTGTCACACTCCCATGTCTCCTTTCTTTCCACGTGTCGCTCTCCTCCTTAACGTTTTGCGTTTCAAAACCTTATATATATCTTCACCCATGGTTGTTCATTCATCAACCTTCCATAAGTTCATTCAAACACAACTCACAACCAGCTCTGACACTCGAGACAACATCGTACAATCAACCCATAAGATCAATGGCGTCGGGACAGCAATTCAAGGGAGACAGAGCGGAGGCAGCGGCCAAACTTGCCGCCAAAGACATCGGCGATATCAACAGAGCGAACGAGCGCAACGACAACTTCGACCTTCATTCCGAGGCCAACTTTAAGCAAGCACGAGCAGAAGCAGCTGCGAAGCTCGCCGCAAAGGATCTGGAGGATGTTAACAAAATGAGGGACAGTAATGCCACCACATTCAAAGAGCAGCAGCACTACAGCGAGAATAAACCCGGTGTGATAGGGTCCATGTTCAGAGCCGCTAAGGAAGCGGTGGTTGGGAAGCCTCACGATGCGGTTGAGACCTGTCCAGGGGTTTACGATTCCAGCAGAGAGAGGATAACGAAGGAGCAAGGTGGGTCGAAGATGGGGGAATATGCAGATTATGCGACTCAGAAGGCGAGAGAAACGAAGGATGCAACGGTGCAGAAGGCTGGGGAGTACACGGACTTTGCGACTCAGAAAGCAAAAGAAAGCAAGGACTACGCCGCGGATAAGGCAAAGGAAGCTAAAGATGCTACAGTGCAGAAAGCTTCAGAGTACAAGGATTATACTGCTGAGAAGGCTAAGGAAGGGAAGGACAGTGCAACGGGGAAGCTTGGAGAGTTGAAGGACTCTGCTGCTGATGCTGCTAAAAGAGCTATGGGCTACTTCACCGGCACCAGAGACGAAACAAAGGTTAACTTCAACTTCCAAGACTTTTTCTGTTGAGTTATTGATTTGGTTACTAATTATTTAATGTTTCTTCCTTTTCCTTGAACAGGTGAGTGGAACTGCGGAGGATACCAGGCGAAGAACCCAAGAGGTAAGGGTGCAGGATAAGGACTATGGAACGGGGCATGGAGGAGAGAAGGTGGTGATAAAAATGGAGGAGTCTCGGCCGGGAGCGGTGGCGGATGCGATGAAAGCGGCGGAGAGGGCCTTGGGCGGCGAGATGGAGGAAGAAGGTATCCTTCGTGTGGAGCGTCGTAGGGAGAAAATGTGAACGTGTGTGTTATGTTTTGGATGAAGTATAACAGTAGTAGCAATAATAATGTGTTTTGTAATAAAGATATTTGAAGTTGTTGTGGTGAAGCATCCCCTCTAGCTTTCATTCCTATATCAACACCTTCGTGTCCACTTCTCTAGAGGATATACATACATTTAAATAAAAAGTTTGGATCACTTTTCATTTTAATAATGTGTGTGTAACTATATATACATCCGTGAAAATTAAAAACTTATTTAATAGCTTCTGCTTTTATTTTAATTCCTTCTTTATTTATTATTACATAGATATGTTCACTCGAATTTTAATTTAAGAGATATCTCTTAGGAAGAAAAGTAACAAAAAAAGGTTAAAAGTTATATTCATCTCTTAAGTTTGTCAATCAAAATTGATTTCTTTTTTTAAAAGAAAAACGTTAATCGGTTTAACATAATTCCACTTCAAATATACACACTTGACAACTATTTCTATTTATTTATATTTATTGCAACTATTTAAAAACTCTATTTTACTTACATATAATAATAAAATTTCAAATTTATGCATGTTTATTTATATTTTAATATTTATGATTATTATTATATTAATAAAATTTTTGAATGATTGCCTTTTGGAAATGATGTGTGATATAAAATTTCAACAATTCATATTTAATTTCTTTGTATTATTTTTTTATAACAAAAATGATGAAATGATTTAATTATAGATAATTTTTATTTAGTTATGGATACTTTTTATTTATTTAGTAGATAGTTTTTATTTTATAGTTAAATTCAAAAAATTAGAATTACAAAAATAAGTATAAATAATTTTTACAATAGATAATTTTTATTTATTTAGTTAATTTTTAAAAACCAAATAAAACAGTAAAGTAAAAGAAATATACAAGAGAATTTAAAAAAAACAGTTAAATTTAAATAAAATAGTAACTTGAAAGGTATAAGTGAAAAAAAAAATCTCCTATAGATACTTATATGAAAGCAAGTGCACTATAAACAAATTTATTCTACTTTTAATTTATTCGATGTGATTCGGTTCTATATCAGATTTATGGATATCATATTTACGGATCAACGAGATCTTTCGAGTTCCAAAGATTTTCAAAATAAAAATGGAATATATTTTCTGAATTTAAAAACTTATATTATTAAATTTAAATTTTAAGCATGGTGATTTAATATATAAATAAGAGTTAATTTTTAGTCTCTAAACTTCTTTAAAAAAAATAGTAGATATATTAAACTGCATTACATTTGAATTCAGCTCAAATGTTAATATTTCTTTCTTAACAGCCTATCCATATTTCTCTCTTCCTTTTCCTCCTACAAAATAGAGCATTTAGGTAACGAATCAAACTCGCACAAACAGACTCACATTATCTAGATTTAAGTGATATTATATTAAAATATCTTTTATAAAAAATAAATTAAACTTTATTACCAAAAAATAACTCATTAAAATTAACCGGCTAAAAATATCTAACAAGAACTATTCATCAAAATTAATATACTATAGTAAAAGTTAGCCTTTTTAATTTGGATAAATTCTTTAAAAGAAAAATAGAAAATAATTATTGTATAGTTGTATCTAATAAAACTTAAGCCAACCACAATTCTCAGTCACGAATTGCACCGTTTGGTTGGTGAAGCAGAACATCAATCTGCACTATCACGTGCCTGCGGTTCACATCGTTTGGTGAACGTGAATGAGAGTCTAAAACGTGCTTATGATAGAAATGAATTGTGAGCATAAGTTAATGAAAATCTGTGAAGTACTCATTTTACTCCCACGCTTTAGCAAAGCAGATCAAATCACACATTTTTTTTCTCATTCTTCAATAATATTATTTATCAGTTGCCTTAACCAATGATAAATTAGTGTAAAGTAGATGATCAATAGAAGTAAAATTGTTATTTGCTCTATAATAAACAATTTGTTTTACGACAAAATCAAAGTTTTAGGTTACTATATTTGTGCGATGCAAGAGAATCACTTTATTGAAAGATATCACTCAAATACCGAGTTTAACTAACTTAGTTCAACCTTTAAATTAAGACTAATTAAACACATTTAATAGAGAATAGTTGATAAAAAATAGTTAAATATTATTGATTATAAAATTATAATTTATATTAATAAAAATAATTTAATAACTTTCATATTTTTAAAGAAGGTTTAATGTCTCGGTAGGTCCCTATTTTCGGCGTGAATTTCAAATAGGTCCCTTTTCTTTTCAGCGTCTCAATTGGGTTCTTTTTTGTGTAAAATTGGAGCAATTAGGGGTCTGCCGTCAAATTACACAAACGGCCGTTTAAGTTTGCCTACGTGTTATTAAAAATGATTTTGAATTAATTTTTGTATTAAAAAATGAATTTGTTCTTCAAGGGCAAAAAAGGCAACAGTCCTTTCACAAGGTTCCTTTCTCTCTCTTTCTATCTCTCTGTGTTTTTCGTTTCGAGGTTCTTGATATTTCTTTCACTTGGAGCGAAACGTGCGAACACCTTCGTTCAAGGTTTCGAGATTATTGCTTTGCTCGCTCGCGCATTGCTGGAAAATGAGAAACAACAGAACGAATTAATCCACGTGTTAGAGATGCTATCAGATATGGGTGCGATTTTTCTAATCTTAGGTTTGTTAATTGTGTAGATCCTTTTCATGAGGTGAAGAGCAAGCGGGAAAAGAAAAAAGAGGTGGACGATTTTTTTTGTTGGTTTCAGCTGTTCAGGATTGATTCCATGATATCTTAAAAACAAGAAGAAAGAATCTGTCTTTGATATTCAGATAATCAAATTATCAATTCGGTTTCTTCTTTCATGACTGTGTTCTACTGCTGTGTGACAGTAGGTGAATCTGTGTGCTAAGTTTGTACGTGGATACGAAGAGTTTGTTTGACTTGAGCATTTTGTTTCT